TCATCGTCGGAACTTTACAGTTTTATAAATTTTAATCAGGGAATGAAAGTAACTCGTTACTTGTAACAAAATTATAAATTACTTTTTTAATAACTTTACTGGTAACCGCGTTATTTTTGTTTGATAACTATTAGGTGTTGGAATTAATTCGTAGCGTTTTACAAGTGATGGGAAGTACTTTCATTAATGTATTTTTTAATGCTCATGTGAAATAAATAACATTCTTTCATTAAAAAACGCTACGAATTAATTCCAACACCTAATATAATGGTAATGAAGTTACATTTTTTTTGGTAATGGTAACGAATTGATAACGAATTTTACAGTTACTTTTATTATTACTTTGCACATGATTGGACACGACACTACACAAGCAACTTACACTATAAAAAAATTTCGTAAATTTACACATATAATAGATGTAAAATAGATTACATGATTAGTCTTGTAAATATAAAAAAATCATGCAATTTTACAGAAATTATGTAATTCCACAAAAATTATGTAAATTTACTTTTATTGTGTAAATATACCTTCTTTTAGAGAAATTAACACAATATAATGCGTTGTGTAAATATATCTTATTTTAGAGAAGTTAACACAATATAATGCGTTAAGTATACCACATATGAACAAAAAGAACTGTGTGCATCGATTAGTCATAGGTGGCATGATGGATAAGATACGAGAGATAGATAAGATAAACCCTGAGGTTCAAAATAAGTGAAAAAGATTAAAATATAATTAAAATTTAGAAATTAATTAATAAAATTAGTCGTCTAAGGTTTTTAGGCATTGTTGATAAAAAAATAAATTTTAAAAAATTCTAGATTGTTATTTTTTCTAATTTTGTTTAAATAATTTTAACATTAAAAAACGTTTTTTTAATGTTAAAGAAATGTATGAAAAGAAGAGCATAAAAAACCACCGCACAAGTTATAGTTTGTGATATTTAATTATCATTACATTAATTAAAACATTAGACGTTTCGGTCACAATTTGACCATCCTCAGTAAATTCATAATATTCTTAAAACGCAGAGTTACATACAGCTGACATTAAATTCAACCGTCGTATGATATAATTATATAAACTTCTTCTTATGTGAAGATGCCTCGTACAATAATGTTACACCGTCAATTATCATATCACGAAAAGTGTAGAACGAGAATTTCTAGATTCTAATTTAACAAATTTGCGTATCATTAATATCTTCTAATCGAAATATGTAAGAATAGAATCATTACCTGTTTTACAGCAAAAAAATATAATGATGAATCTCACGCATAGATGGAAACACATTTGTCGTGATATTGTGTGTTATTATTTGTCATATCATATATTTTACCACTATTTATATATATGAGTCAAAAGTTTAGAAAGTTCTAGAATTATTTATTAGTGTGAGAGAGATCTTTCTTAAAAAGAGACAGATAAACATCAGGCAAAAGACACTGAAGGTTTGCTTGATGTTTATCTGCCTGACACGACAAATTTCCATCTGTGCATGAGATTGTATGTACTTGAGATTCATCATTATATTTTTTTGCTGTAAAACAGTTGAATTTAATGTCAGCTATATGTAACTCTGCGTTTTAAGAATATTGTGAATTTACTGAGGATGGCCAGATTGTGGCCGAAACGTCTAATGTTTTAATTAATGTAATGATAATTAAATATCACAAACTATAACTTGTGCGATGGTTTCTTGCTCTTCTTTTCATACGTTTTGAATTATAAACCACGTTTGTTTTTATGATGTATTTTAAATAAATGTTTTTTCAAACGTTAAAGAAACATTTCTTAGACGTTAAATAAATGTTCATTCAAATTAGTCATTACAATAAACGTTTTCTTAATAATAATAAAAAAGGGAACTTAACCCATTATTTTTAACGTTTTCAAAAATGTTTTTTAAATATGCTGCTGATTGGGATGTGCTTGGTCACTAATTAGGACGTGGTCACTAATTGGAACACTTTTATGCTAATGTCGGCGAGGTAATATTTTTCGAAATAAAAATTAATTATTTAGAGATTTTAATATGTCACTCAGCATCATTAAGATTATTCTAAGATGCAAAAAAGCATCAAATTGTTAAATTGCTAGTCATTTTAATTCGTGATATTACTGTAGTAGTTTAGTGGAGTTAGCGTTTCAAGACAGAAAAATCATTTCTGCACGTTTCAAAGAACTACATACGTATATATAAATTCATGCAGAATCATACAAGCATTTAAGATCCAGCTAGATATTTAAGGCATTTAAGGTATTTCTATAGTTTGTGTCATCACATATATGATTCTATCCAGTAAAAAATGATAATGGAATCGACATCGAATCGATGTCGATTCAACATCGATTTTATTATCATTTTTCACATAAGATATGATATTGTTAAATTATTATTTTTTCAATTGTTATTGCAGTAAATGTGAATCTTGTTATTAAAAATTTACCTCGATTGATAAGTTCACGTTCAACGGACACTCCTTATCAACCACAGGAAAGCTAAGATATTCATAATATAAAATGCAAAAGTTTATCTATATAATTGCAATTATAATAAATTTCTATTTTATTTTTGTTTATTGGAGATATATTAAAATATTAAAGCTTTGCTTTTAAATTAAAAAAAATGAAAATGGGTTGTATTGAACTATAAAAGCATGAGGATATATATATATATAATCTCTAAATAATTATATATATTTATCAAAATTAGTACATATAATATAATTAAATAGCTTGTATATTAATTATCATTAACTTAAAATTATACTTAGATACTAAATATTTTTTAAACTATTTCAACAGTTATAAGTTATTCCAAAGTTATATTTATTCCAAAAAGTGCTGCCATCTTCGATCGGACATATATAAAAGATTTTAGTAAATCGATCGAAAAATGAATTAATTTCTTTAAGATGAATTTGATTTTAATTTAATCTTGAGAATTATAAAATTATTCAGATATAGATTATATTTTTTTTATTATTAAAGATTTTACTTTTAGATTAAAGACTGTTAATTAAAGATTGTTAAGTCGAATACCACATTTTATATCAACTATGATTAGAAAATGTTTGTAATTTTTATTTTTTCCAACTTGTTTTTATTATACTCGGAAAAAAATATTTAGTCATTATCAAATTATTAATGTTAATAAAATAGACTATCTTTTCTGATTCCTTACATATAAACAATTCATTTTGTCATATGAAGAGCAGAATTTCAAAATGCATTTTGTCCAAAATTTCATTTTTGAGTTAGAGACATAGTGTTCAGTGTTGCGAAAGAAAATTATTACTCTGAGATGTTCAAAAAACAGTTTTTCATTGTTAATTTACATACTGAAAAAGCATAAACATTTCGAAGTGCATTGTTTTTTAATTAGATACAAGCAAAATATATTTGTTTAATATTTTTAACAATTATTTAGTAATTTTGTTTAATACTTCACGTCATACTGATTGGCATATTGTTATTTTCTATAAAATGCGTAATTTTCTTGTGTGTGTGTGTGTGTGTGTGTGTGTGTCTGTGTGT